CAACATCCGTTCCTCTACCAGTGTACATTTCCCACCACCACTGTTCCCAGTTTCCCTCCAGCCACCTGCCCTGCCCCCTCTCCCCGCTTCCAACTGTTTTAATTACCTAGGCTCAAAAGCTCTGATTAAAAACATGGCTTCTTTTCATCATTATCCCACCTACATCTAAAGTCAGAAGGAAAAAGTTGTTTTCATTAAAATTTTTAGATCAGACCTGAGAGACAGCACAAGGGGTGAGGATGAGCAGAGAGCCAGGAGTAATCCCTGGGCACCAATGAGTATGGAAGGAAAACAACCCCTCCCCTTCCTGCTCCCAAAATCCTTCAGTGAAATTCTGCTAAGTGTCACACCATCACTATCAGCCTCCCACTCTTGAGCCTATCAGATGAGAAGGCTCAAGGGGCCTCAATGGCTGTTGCTCACCACCATGCTTCAAAGCTTTATCCAAGTCCTGTGCATTTGGCCCTTCCCTGCATGGTGACATCATCGTGTTTGAAAGTGTGAAAAAGGGATTCATGTCCAATTATTCCATTAGGGCAGAGGATTTTTTGTTTGGTTTTGGATCACACCCAACCATGCTCAGGTTTTAATCCTGGCACTGCACTCAAGGATCATTCTTGGCAGGGCTTGGAGGACTGTATAGGGTTCTAGGATTCAGCTGGGTTAGCTGCATGCAAGGCAAGTACCGTACCCACTGTACTATCTCTCCAGTATCAGGAAAGAGGAATTTTAAATTTAAAAAAGTACTTTTTTTTTTTATGTAGGAGTACTGCTATTTATTCAGCCATTGATTAAGCTGACTGAATTAATTAGGCATGAACTCCACAAGGGACTATGTTTTTTGGGGGGATGGGAGTGGGAATCACACCCGGTGATGCTCAGGGCTTACTCCTGGCTCTGCACTCAGGAATCACTCCTGGTGGTGCTTGGGGGACTGTATGGATGCCAGAGATTGAACCTAAGTTGGCTCTGTGCAAGGCAAGTGCTGTACCCACCGTACTATCACTCCAGTCCCTTAAATTAAAATTTAAATTCAGTTTACTGGACAACATGGGTAACTGGCTTTTGCTCTGATTTCTTTCTAAATGCCACACCTTTGGTGAAAATTTCCTGATTCCTGGGGCAATTTCCACTCTTTTCACTACAACACAAATCTGCAGAGGTGATTAATTGGGATCCCCGTCTGAAACAGAGTGAAAATAGCTGGCCTTTAAAAATCATTCACCATAGATTGAGCATTTTGACAAAAATGCTCGGCATGCATTCTCATTCCACCTCCTAAGCCTGAGGTCGATGCTGTTATTATGTCTGATTTGCAGAGGAGGAAAAGGCGTTGGGGAGCTAAGTAATTTGTCCAAGTTCACACACAGAGGTTGTAAGTAGCAGAACCAAAATTTAAATTCAGGTCAGTCTGATTCCACAGACCATAATCTCTACCTTCTTTTTGGGGGGAGTGGAAGGCTCCGGCCACAAGGTGTTCAGTGTGACACCGGCAGTGCTCTGGGGCCCACGCACCCCTGTGGATCCCACCTGGGGAAGGACAGAACTCCAGGCGAGTGCCTCACCTCTTCACTACTTCACTACTGCTACTCTATGAAGTACTTAATTATGGAGTACTACGAAGTACTCTCTGGAGTACTTAATTGTTGCAGAAACTGTTCTTTCATCTGGGTGGGGCGGCTGGGGGGAGGGAGTTGGGCCCCATCCAGTGATGCTCAGCGCTTACGACTCCTGGCTCTGTTCTCAGGGATCGCTTCAGGGGGGTGCTCCTGGAACCTTCCTTGGTGCTCGGGATCAAACGGGGGCTTGGGTGCCGGGCAAGCACCCTAACCTGGGTCCACTCTCTCTGGGGGCCCCGGATCCTCTTCCTACCCAGATTTGCATTCTGTCCCTTGAATGCTGAACGTCTTTCTCTCTCGGGCCCGCCAGCTTTCCCACCGCTTTGGGGTTTCGTGTGGACCCTTAAGGTTCCTGCCGTCTTTCCCACGGGCGCCGCCAGAAGCTGTGTGGACGTGGGGCTGGACCGAGACAGCACAGCGGGCAGGGCGTTTGCCTTGCACGCGGCCGACCCGGGTTCGATTCCCAGCATCCCATAGGGTCCCCCGAGCACCGCCAGGAGTAATTCCTGAGTGCATGAGCCAGGAGGAACCCCTGAGCATCTCTGGGCGTGACCCCAAAAAGCAAAAAAAAAAAAAAAAAAAAAACCGCAGCTGTGTGGACGCTCCTGGCGGCGGAGCGAAGGGCACCGATTTCACATCGGGGAGTGGGGTGGGGGGTGGCGCTGGGACTTGCACTCGGGTCTCCTCACCCCGGCACCCCCCGCTCTCCCGTGCACCCCGCTTCAGGGCTTCTCTCCCCGTCGCCCCGGGAGCTTCCCCGTCGGGAGGCACGAGGCCGTCCTGCCGAGCCTACTCGACGGGCGTCGGTTCGTGGCGGTGACCACCGGCTCCCCGCAGCCCACCCCGTCCTCGGCCCCGCACAGCCCCGCACGGAGCCCGGGACCCAACTGAGGAGAAACGGGAGCTCGGGGGTGGGGAGTGGGGGGCGGCGCGCGCCGACGTGACTCTCCACAGAGCCGAGTCCGCGTCTTCGCCCTCGCCTCGCGGGGCGGCGGCTCGGGCTGCCTCAACCTCCGCGCCCCGCGGCGGGGAGGGACGCGGCGGCGACGCCTCACCTGAGGGCTCAGCAGGGTCCTCAGGTGCTTCAGCTGCATGACGAACACCTGTCTCTCAGAGGCCACCAGACGGCGACAACTTCCGCCGTTGCCCGGACAACCGGCCACACCGCCGCGGCGGCGGCGGCTGACGCAGACGCGACCAGCGCTCACTCCCAGCCCGCACTCAGGTCGCGACGCCGACAACCGGACGTGCGCCGGCGCCGTGAGATCCGGGGCGGGCTCCGGGCTGCGCTCAACCAATCGCGGCACTCCATACAAATCCACGCTCTGGCCACGCCCACCAGCCTTCGGCCCGCGCGGGGGCTGCGTAAGCCGCGGGGCTCTCTCGGGTTTGAGTCCAGGCAAGCCTGGGAGTGAGCAGACCAGTTGCTGAGTTTAGGTCTTTTGCAGCTGGCGGAATTGAACCCAAATGGGTTTCTAAGACTTGGCGGGATAACAAGGCTAGTGATCTTGAGTAGGTTCGAGCAGGTATGGTAGGAGCATCCATTCTCTCATCCAGATGAAGAGGTTGGCGATCTTAGTCCCCCTTTTTTACATAATACGAGTTAGCCTGAGAAGGGTTAACTCCCCCGCGCCAACACAATCAGTAAAGGACAGAACTGAGACTCAACAGAGTTGTTGTAAACACTCCACGTTCCTTCTCAACAATTTCAATCTCCTGGGGATGTTCCTATACTCCATCCCAACAAATGACGGTGTGTCTGTCTGTCCAGGGTCTGCCGATGAGTTTTTCAGAAGATGAGTTTTTCAGAACGAGTAGCTAGAGAGAGGTAGAAGTTATCCCGTGTTGGATTCAAATTTGCATCTGGGTTAGGGGGTGTTCATGGCTTAAGGTGGAGGGTAAAGGAGAGCGCGCTCACCCAATAGGTTAAGTCTTGTGCTACCTGAGTTTGGACCATCATTAAGCAGAATAGATACTGTCTTTGATCTTTCTTTAAATTGGGATCCCTTTCAGAATCATTGCTCTCATTTCTTGTAACATACCAGAGAGAAGAAGATGCAGAGGAAAAATTCATAAGCCGCCTCTGGAAGGCTCCAAAGTTGGGAAGACCATTAGCCCCATAGAAAATACCTGAAGCCTTCCCATCACTGTTGAAGGTCCTGAAGGCTTCCCATCACTGTTGTTGTGAATTTAAGGGCTATTCCTCTCGCTGATACTACCTCCTCTCTGCATCCGTCCCCTCCCCCGCCACACACACATTTCTTGAAACTTAAGGAGAGAACCCCTATATCTGCCAGAAAATAAACCCCGGAGCCCAAGTTGTAATTCTGAGACGTGGAAGTTACAATCTCTTAGTTTTATTTTTAGAGTCCTCTGGATATGGTGGCAGAGTGTGACTACAAATTTATTTATGCTTTACAATTATTATTGCCTTGGAATGAACAGAATCAGAGAGAGACAGACAAAAGGGAAGGCGAGGGCAGGGACAAAGAGGCACAGAAAGGATGGAGCATGTGGCACCGAGGGGCCACCGTTTTTCACCATTAGCCCTAGGTTTCTGGGGAGGGAGGGAGTTAGTGTGGGGGGGTCAATGCAGAGGAATAAACAGTGAGGAGCTGGGCTGCTGTGAGTAGTGAAGATAAAATGGTTACTTCTCCCTCTCCTATTTCCTGGGGACAGAAGGAACTCCTCTCTTTCTCCCCTTTTCTCCCGCAGAGCAATAGGAACCAAGCCTCTAGTTTCCAAACCCTCTGCTAGGCCCCACCACACCCACCCCAGGCTGGAGAGTTAAATCCAACACCACCAAAGGAGCAGCGGCTCCTCTCTGGGTGCAGTGGTAGAGGGTCCCTCATCCTGGGGGAGACGTTGGGAGAATGTCTTCAGCATGTTCTACGGTTAGGTCCTGTTTGTCCAAGAACCTTTACTGGAAAAGTGCTCAAGGGGTGAGCTCAGAGGCAGCTGGAGGGGCCACCAGGTGAGCGGGAGCACCTGAGGCTCCATGGAAGACTTTGGAGTAGTGCAGGGCGGTTATCTGCCTCCAGGCCCAGGCCACTTCCTTCATTTTCTGTAGGGGTGCAGGGGTACCCGCCAAAATACCCCTCTCTGAGGCCCAGAGGCTATACGTAGGGGCAGCTGGGGAAGCTGAGAGCCTGATGCAGGTGAGATGAGGTGCCCATTTTGGACCTCAAGGGTCAGGGTTGAAGAAGGGGCTCTCCCCTGGACCCGAGAGACTGGGAGACGTAGTTCATCAGTTTTCCACTCCCCGGGTCCAGGGTACGGACCCGAATAGACCTACCTTACAGCCCTGTTCACAGTTGAAAGAGGATGGGGGCCAGGCCTGAGACCAGGGGTTCGATGTTATTCTCTGGGGGACCCTTGTGTCTCCATCAGCTTACCACTGGAGGCTCTCCCTCACCCCTACCCCGTTCCCTCCCATCCCCCCAGCCAGGCCAGGACTGCCTCTCTCCTGGGGTTCTGCTTCTTCACTCAGACGTCAATGGTATTGATGGAGGGTGACTTTTTCTGAAAAAGAAAATGGTTTGAGTCTAATTTTTAAAAATTTGCTTTGGGCCACACCTGGCAGTGCTTAGGGATTACTCTGCACTCGGGGATCACTCCTTCCTGGCGGGCTCAGAGAACCATAAGGGGTGCCAGGGATCGAACCCAGCTCTGCTGCATGCAAGACAAGTGCCCGACCTGCTGTACTATCACTCTGGTCCCACTAAGTCTAATTTCTCCTGGAGGCCCTGATTTCCGTTCGTCCTCTTTGGTTTTCCCCCTCTCCCCGGCTGCTCCTAGGGGCCAAATCACCCCCCTCTCCCACCACCATCATCTGCATGCCCACATCCTCCCCAGCCCTGCATCACCTGTCTTGTCCCCGCTGGCCTTCCTTGAGGACTCTGCTCCTTCCCCTTCTCCTTGGGGTTATTGTTGGAGTCATTGTCCTTGATGATATCATACTGGCGGCAGAAGAGCCCAATGACAGCTGAAACACACAACACCCGCTCAGCCCTCATCCGCTCCGAACACTTCTAGAAGATCCAAGGAGAAAACCTTTCTGGCCCGTGCCAAGCCCTCTCTCCCCCTCCTCCTCACCACCCTCCTCAATACTCCTTCACCAACTTTCACGCCCCCCACCTACACCAAGCCCTACTTTCTCAGTGCCCGGGTGCCCCTCCAGCCGCTGACTCACCAGCCCACATGAGAAGCACCACCACGATGATAACCACCTCCCCCGTCTGTAGGGGCCGCTCTCCATCCAGCCCCTCCACCGTGATGTCCCCTGAGAGGGAAGGAAGGAGCCAGAGTTGGGGTTCAGGGGCACGGCCTGAGAGTTATGCCTTGCAAGTGGTTCTGGGTGGAGATGCTGGGGATTGGAGCGGGGCGGACCCATCACATCACAGCCCCTTCTGGGGGAAGCTGTCTGGGGGTGCTGGAGAGATGGGGGACAGACAGATGGTTAAGAGACCCGAGAGCAGGAGGGTAGCAGGCTAGAGTCTGGGCAGGTGGGCAGGCACAGCTGTTGTGAGCTGAGGCTAGGAAACAGGAAAAGGCTTAAGAGCCCTTCCCCCCAAACGATTCATCCTCAGCCCGTCTATACCCGGTGTGGTTCCCTGCCAACTTGCTTGCCTGCCTTTCCTGGCAGCATAGTGAATTAACTCATGCCTCCATCAGCCCAGCTAGACTGTGGCTGACTTTGCGGAAGTAAACAGGAGGCTCAAGGTAAAAAAGCCAGAGGACCCGGAGCTTGAGTGCAGGGCATGGGTTGGCACCCTCACCTGGGCTCGAGTTGTTGGAGGGAAGCCTGTCGGAACCCTTGAGTGTCCGGAAGTGCACCCGGGGCCCTGGGGGACTCTCTCCCCGCAGGCCGATGCTCCGGACCTGCACGGTGTAGTCGCTGTCTTCCGCCAGGCCCCAGAGGGCACAGGCCCGCGTGGTTGTGTTCACCTCCCGGATGACACGCTGGCCGGGGCCATTCTGTCTCTGCAGCGGGGACATGATAGGGAGGCATGGAGGGCACGGCTGCACCCCAGTCCTAGGACACGAAGCTTGACCCTCAAGGAAACACCCAACCACTTCAGGAAGAGTCCAGGGAAGGAGGAAGCTTGAGCCCCTGGGAGCACCACTAATGCCCCCCCCCACCCCACTGCAGGGGAATCCGGAGGTGGGTGCCCCAAGGACACAGGTGGGGGATCGAGTTCATACCTGCTGGGAAATGGAGTAGCCGATGACGATGTTGCCTTCTGGGACGTCCCAGGACACGGTGGCCGAGTTGGCTCTGAGGTGAGTGACTGTCACATTCACGGGGGAAGGAGGCCGGTCTGCGGGGCCAGCGCGGGTTAACAGGTGCCCCCTCGACACCCCGGCTCCCCCGCACCCCGCGCCGCCTTCGCTCACCTGCTCGCACGAAGCCCAGGTCGCAGCTGACCAGCAGGAGGACCGTGGGGCTGAGATAGGGGGACAGGGGCATGAGCGCGGCCATGGTCCCCACCGATCGGGCTGAGAGGCACTCGGGCATCCGCTGAACATGCAGGCGGGGCTCCTGAAAGTGGCAGGAGCGGGCGGGGGGTCAGAATGTGCAGAATGCCCAGAAGGCGCAGGTGGGCAGCAGCTGCCCGGGGTGCTCCCCGCATCCCTCCCGCGCACCCCACCCCCCACGGCGGCTTCCCCGCCTCCCCTCACCCGGCTCCCCCCGTGCACAGCCGGCCCGGCCCACACCCACCTCCGCCCGTGCTCGCGGTCCGTCAGGCCTCGGGGGGCTGCTCGGTGCCCAGGGGGCGGCCCATCGCCGGCTCCGCGGCGCGGCCCCTACCCCATCCCGGCGCGGGCTGGAGCCGCGGGCAGGGCGCGGGGCTGCGGGGGCTCCCGGCGCTCGGTCCCTGTCGGCGGGGCTCGGGGCGGTGCCGGCGCGGCCGGAGCCGGGCCCGGGTCCCGGGTGCGGCGGGGGATGCGCCTGCGGCGGGAGGGGAGCGTCCCGCGGAGCCCGCCGCCGCCTTCTGCAGAGCTGGCCCGGCGCGCTCCGCCGCAGCCCGGCCCGGACGTGCGGGCCCGCCCCGCCCCGCTGGGCTTCTCGCCGCCGTCACCCCCCGCCAGCCCCCCTCCCGGTTCTCTCGGGGCTCCTCCCACGACCCTCCCTTTGACAGCCTCGGGCCCGCCGCTCGGGCGCTCGGGGTGCGCGCGGGGGTGTCGGGGGAGGCGCAGGCGCGGGGGTCGCGGGCACCTGCTCAGCCCCTCGCTCCCCGGCTGCAGCGGCCCAGCTGGGAGGAGGAGGAGGAGGAGGATGAGGAGGAGAAGGAGGCCCCCCCCCCCCCCCCCCGATCCTAACCGAACCGGCGCCTCGTCCACTGCGTCAGCTCGGAAGTCTCGTCCCCATTCATAATGTGACAGCAGCGATCGGCGGAGCTCGCTCATTCACTGTCCTCTCTCGAGCACTGTTTCTCTGAGCGTCTCCTAAGGGGGGAGAGCCGGGGGTGCAACGAGGGTGGCGAGTTCAGAGGCAGAAAAGATACGAGCACGGTCTGTGTTTCCTGCCCCAGCTCTGAACTTGCCGTGGGGCTTTGGAGCAATTGGGTGATCAGCCGCAGGTTTTCCACCTGCAAATCCCGGCCTCGGCCGTGTCCCGAGGAGCGCACAGACAGCTGGGAACGAGCTTTATCAGTGTGAAAAACCGTGCGTGTGAGAGATCATTATTCACCTGCACCAATCCGTTAGTTACTTCTTCATTCCTCCTTAAATGTGTAAGTTCTTTTTTTTTTTTGGTTTTGTTTTGGGGCCACACCTGGATGGAGATGATGATTAGGGCTTACTCCTGATTGTGTACTTAGGGGTCACTCACTGCTGGAAATACTCAAGGGACCATATATATTTATATAGTTATATATATCTGGCATCATATATATTATATATATGTAAATAGATCTATATATGATGCCAGATATCCAATCCAAGTGGGCTGCATGCAAGGCAAGCACCCTACCTGCTCTACTAACTCTATGGCCTGAAAGATTTTTTTGGGAGGGGGGTACAAACATTCAAAGCGATGCTCAGGGGCTGTTTCCAGAAGGTGCTGGTGACCATGCAGTGCTGATCTCCAACTGAGGCCTCCCACATGCAAATATGTGCACTAGCCCTTAAAAAACAAACAAACAAAATTTAGGCAGTGTGATTTATAGTACTTTTAATGATGGGGTTTCCTGCATAGGCTGTTTCAATACCACACCCTACATCAGAGTGTTTTTGCTCCCCTACCAAACTACTGCACTGGCCCTTTGAGTTCTCTTCCCAGCCCTGGATGTATATTCTTTGTTCTGTTTTATTTTAGGGGCCACACCTGGCAGTGCTCAGGGCTTCCTCCTGGCTCTGCACGCAGGGATCCCTCTGCAGGGGGATCTAACCTGAGTTGACTGCATACAAGGGAAGTGCCCTCCCAGCTGCCCTATCACACTGGCCCCTAAACATGTACATTCTTGCTTCATGCTTTGGCTGGGCTTGAGATCTGGAGTGAGAACAGGTGTGTGTGAGTCTTAGGTCTGTCAGCTGTGTGATCTTCAGCAAAGGGCTCACCTTCTCTGAGCCTCTATTACACAAGATAGAAAACAATTACTGGTCTTCTCTTCTGAGTGTTAATGGATCCAGTGAGAGCCTGCATATGAAAAGTGCACTGTTGAAGGTAAATAAATGTTGGCTTACTGTATTTAGGGCACAGGCATTGGCTTCTGCCTTTCACTGCAGTATTTCTATTTCGGTGACACTTTTCTCCTGTAATATCCAGTTCAGTGTGTGCACCCTTGGGGCTCTGTAGCCGCTGAGGCTTCCATCTGAGAGGAGAGAGTGAAATGGGCCAGGAAGGACTGTGTGTTCTGAGTGTGTGGTCAGCTGGCCCTGGGCCTCTGATCTCTGCTGGCCCTGTGAACCCTGGGCCTTGGCCTCCTGAGGTGCAGCCCTGGGTGTAGTTCTTGAATTTGCAGGTTCTAAATCCCCCCAAGAAGAGGGTACTGTGTTTGCCGGTCAAGAGAAATAAACCTAGGATCTTCTCGTTCAGGGCCAAATTGAAGGCTGGGGTATCTGCATACGTGCAAAGAGGGACCCCCGGAGCTCTCCTGGGTGGCAGTGACCAAGTACAGACAGAGATCAGGGTAGCTGGGCCAGTCACAGCTGTGGTTAGGTGGAAGCAGTGACTCAGAGGGTCTCTGTGGCTGAACAGCTGGACAACCACAGTGCGCCCATAGCATTGGACTGAACTGGGTACAAAATGGTTCGAACACATGACAGACCCCAGAGCCTGGAAAGTGGGCGGTGACCCTCCTTTCCTGTGCTGGCCTCCCCCACAAACGCCTGGAATCATTTCTTCTCCAGATTTTTCTCCTCCGCCTTCCCGGGTTTCTGTTCCCTGCTTGTCCCCTCTACCCTTCTGACTTCCCTTCTTCCCCTGATGGGTTCTGAGTACCAAGTGCAGGCTAAGTGTATGCACGTGTGCGAGTGTGTGTGTGAGTGTGTGAGTCCATTTGTGAGTGCATGTGTGTGTGTGTATGTGTGTGTGTGTTCCCTTCCTCCTCCAACTTCACAGGCATGATATGACTTCCTGCTCATATCCTGAACCTCCTCCTCTCTAGCTGTCTGGCTGTGAGGGAGCCCACCCCATCACTGATAAGTCAACCCCCTGACCCAAGACAGGGATGAGGCTGGTGTGGGGCAGGTTGTTGGATGGCTGGGGAGAGGTGTGGGGACATTGTGGAGAGCAGCCTTGGGTATGTAACACGTGATAACAGATAACAATGTTGTTCCACAGCCTCTGTCCTATCTGGGCATGGGCCCTCATTTTAGAACCCCAAGACCATCTCCACCCTCTGTCATCCTCATTTCACTGCAGCTTTTCTCTTTGATTTCCCATGGGTCCCCTGCAACTACTCTTGGATGAACCAGTTCCGAACACTGAGTAGCAGGGTCAGAGGTGAAGGCACCCGGCTCCCTGCCGAAGCTGTGACTCCCTGATGCTCTCCTCTGTACTTGCTCCCAATTTCTCATGTGTAGGGGTCTCAGTTCTTTCTCCCGGTCTCCCTTGGGAATCCTTATTGGCACCTGATTGAATAGGAGTCATTGTAACCATTGTACTCTGCATAATGGTTTATAACTGACCATGTACTTTCATGCTTGATGCTGGCATAAAAAAATGTATGAACCTGTGAAGTTGGGATTCGTGTCTTCTGGAGATGGATTGGTCCACGCCCAGTGATGCTCAAGGATCACACCTGGAAATACTCAGGGGTCCATATGTGATTTTGCGGACCAACCAGAGGTTGGCTATGTGCAGAGCAAGCGTTTTAGTCCTGTACTAGCTTTCTGGCCCCGGTATTGAGGGGTGTGTGTGTGTGTGTGTGTGTGTGTGTGTGTGTGTGTGTGTGCTGGGGGGGGGGGGATAAAGATTAAAGACAATCACAAGTATATCCTATATCCTAGAAATTGCTGGATACCGCTGCTTCTGTCTTCCTTCTGTCTATATTATTTCCATGACAAAGCTGCTTTCCGGCCTTTCTGGAATAAGCAAGGGACTGAATAAGTAGCTAAGTCTTTTTAAAATTAAATCCAGTGTTCTTTTTGCTATGCCACATGGCCAATGTTCTGTTCTGTTTGCATTAAAAGTTTCTCAGTTCCTCTGCTGTGACTGACAAAGGAAAGAACATACTTCCCCCCAGCCGGAACGGGGCCCGTGGAGCTGGGCATACTGCCTTCCCCAGGAGCCTGAGGTGGGCTGCTGGTTCCAGGGACAAGGGTCCCTCTGGCACAATGGCTTTCCTCATATCTGGGGAGCCCCCTTGGGGAGGTCTGCAAGACCCCTCAGAGTCAAGCTAGGCTAAGCGCCAGCCTGGGCTTCCGCCTTCTCAATGCACCACGTTCTTCTTGGCTCTGCTGCACTCCCGAGCCCCAGGGGCCATTGTTCATCGCTCTCTGCCCCCAACAAGTCATGTTCAAATCAGCTCCTAACTGCCAGATTTCACCTGCTGAGAGAACCATTGCGGGCTCCGCCTTGGGTGTTTAAAGCCCTGGCTGTAAAGTACAGGTAAGTGTCTTTGCCCCTTTGACAAGTTTTTTGTAGCTGTTGCTGAGAACTCAGGGGCAGAGCCTCCTGCCTCTAGCAGGAGGTGACAGGGAAGCAAATGCATTGCCTAGGGGGTAGTTTGGGGGAGAGGGACAGGATAGGTTCTATCAGAGGTACTTTTTATATGTTCTCTCTCCCCCTTCCCAGGGAGTGATTCTGGCAGTGCTCTGAGGTTACTCCTGGCAGTGTGCTTGGGGGTCACTTCTGGTGGTGCTCAGAGGACCATATAGTGCCAGGGTATCAACCCAGCCCTCCAGGACATAGGGTCACACCCGACGATGCTCAGGGGTTACTCCTGACTCTGCAGTCAGGAATCACTCCTGGCAGTTCTTGGGGGGGCCATATGGGATACAGGGATTGAACCTGGGTTGGCCTTGTGCAAGGCAAGTGCCCTCACTACTATACTACCGCTCCAACCCCTCAAGGATTTTTTTTTTAGCTTTTAGATTTCATGCCTGGAGGGTAATTCATACAAAGGTAAAAATGAGTTAGAAATACATTTTTTTTTGTGGGGGGGAGGGTTAGCTTAGTGGTGCTTCGAGGGCATTTAGGAATTAATCCATGCAGAGGTGATTAGGAGATCGTGTGGTGCTGGGGATCAAAGCGGGGGTCCCACACATGCAAAGCACGTGCTTCAGCCTGAGCGGGAGATCCTCTACGCCCTGGTCCTTTGAAGGGAAGACTCTCCTTCCCTGAGAAGCTCTCTGCAGCGACAGGGGATGCTAATTTCAGGCACTGTGACTCAGTGGAAGGAAGGGTTTCAAACAATGTGGGTGTGGACATCTTCCAGTTGTTCCTCAGTCAGTGGCTCCCAAACTTGCCTCATCTTCAGAGTCATCTGGGAAACTTAAAAAAAACACAGATCTTTGGGCTTCCCTCCAATATTGCTGAAGATGACATTCAGGGTGAATGTGTTTCCCAGAAAGGGGCATTTTTAAAAAAAATTTTTTTTTTAGCTTTTTGGGCGACAGC